ACCCTAATTTGGAAAACTCTTTGATCCATGCCCAGACTTAATAAGTCGGTTTGTTAAAACTGAAGCTATGAAAATGTTTACTCAATTAATTTGAGCAAAAAAAAAAAAGTCATGAATTTGCAATTTGTGGCTCACTTTAATTATAATTCTTTTTCTTCCTGTCAAATAGCACTGAATAAACATAAGCTAGTTTTTTTTTTCTCCTGCTGCCCTGTTGTACCTCAATTTATTATACTCACTGGTTGTAACTCTCCATCTCTCGGTTGTAAAAAAAAAAGAACGAAAAAACAAAACAAAAACGAGTCCCCACTGTGGTAGCCCTTCGAGTTAACATCCTCTCTGTTTCCTGGTACATTTCCAAAAGTTAAAAATGAATAAAATAAAATTGAAAGTTAGAAAACATGCCAACAGTGTTTGTGTTTCATCCTGTGCTTCCCGTTAATCAAAAACCTCCAAATTTCAAACACGTTTCGTATATTTTTATTCGAATTTCATTCCGAGAGGATATGGCACAATGTAACCACTTAATGCAGTTCATCTTACAGTGTCATAGGTAGCCAGTGATAAGAACACTCAGATTCATTGTCCAGAACAGATAATCGATCAAGAATGCATCAACGCAAAAAATATTACCATTGTTACTGTACAGGGAGTTTCATAGTGGGGGGAGGGGAGGGAGAATAAACGAGGGGAAACATTCAGAGAATAGCTATTAATCGTGTATGTACATTTCAAATATACTGCATCTGAATTACATATAATGTAATATCATATAGATATATACAATGCAAACAATAAATTTATTTTTCCTATTACAAGAGAAGCCACAAGCCACAGTGAGTGAGTACACAGTGAGCACCTACATATACAAGCAAATGAAAAATTAACACCTGAATGTACATTTAACACTTGCAGCAGGCTACTGATTGCTTTTTTAAAAGTTGGTTTCCATTTTAAATACACGTTTTCTGACCCATGAAGTTCAGACCAGGTCATAGAACTCAAACCCTCAGCACATTAGTTTTTTTTTTTTACAGAACACATTTTTCCCGTGATGTTAAAATTGCAAAAAGTTGTAAAGTGTGTCTAGCAAGATAGCAGGTGAACCACCTTTTTCTCAAGGTAAGTGTGAAGCCTTATAAATTTACAGGTGAAATCAAAATGAAACCCTTGCCTCGGAGCTTTCGGCCACACTGAAACTAGTTTTAGCTTTTGTCCCCATCCTCGGTTTCCCTTCTTGGGGATTGCTCTTTTTTTTTTTTTCCTCTTTCTGGCTGCACAAGTCATTCTTCAAATCCCCTGGAACGTTTTTCCATTGTGTAAAAGTTTGGATTCAGTCACTCAGTTCCCAAGGCAAGAATCCATTTCTTCAAATGACGCACTCCAGAAATGCACAAATTTATACCTTCTACCTTTGCAGTTATATAATCTTAGAAACACAGTTTATAATATTCACATCTTTATAGGTTTTTTATTAATCATTTTTTAACCCCAAAAAACCAAAAACCCTGGCTGTACACTGGTCAAATTCTAATTTGTAATACTACATTTGTACTTTGTACAACGATAAAAGGTTCAGATTTACAAAATGTGATAGAAAATGTATGTATATCATGTCTCTTCCATGGAATTCTGTGTCTCAGTGAGTCTTTGGAAGCTTTTTGCTGTTGAAAGAGAAAGAAGTGATGACAAAGAAATAGGTAATCACTCTGCCTGAATCTGTCCTGATGTGCGTTATGATATTTTATCCAGTCTGATGAGTTCATGCTGAGGATGCCAGTTAGAAAAAAAATAAACCACCACACAGCAAGGTGCATGCACACACACACACAGACACACACGAATGAATGATGACCCCTGATCTCAACGTAAAGACACACACATAGGTTTTGCATGTAAAAGTACAATGCCTTTGAAGACAATTTAGAATACATACATAAAGGATTGGCAGTGCACTAAAAAAGCCCACTGTGCCTGCAAACTGGTTTAGCTGTGGACATTTCTACATCATTTCAATTCTTTAGCTCGTTCAGTCAAAACAGGTGACTCCTGTTAACCTAAAACTTATAGTGATGGTAGCCCAGAGCTGGCAAAATAATATCAATAAATAAATAAAATCAGGAAGGCTGACAAACACGCTCTTTAACGTGCATCACACAGCAGCACGATCGACAACTTTCAGGCCAGACACTCCGAAGAAGCAACAGGGATTTTAGGATAAAAGAGCAATTTGTTTATGTCATTCTGGATAAGGCACTTCAAATTGCTCTGTACAATCCGGCGATATAAACTTTCAGTCTCTGAATAAAATCTCACAGCATGCACAAGCTGCTGCGTCTTCGTATCTGCTTGGTTGCACAAGACTGTTGAGATTATTCTCAGCAACGGCCCCAAGAGTGAAGCCAGAGAAACCTCAAATTTAAAGTTGTCTCTGATAAACGTTGCGTGTCACATGTACTCCTTAAAAAAGGAATGTAGCCCTTTGACATAAGCCGTATGGACAGGAGCCCAGCTAGCTCTGACGGCACAACACGATATGATGACTATTACTATATAGAGAGAGACTATGTTTATTTTGGTCATGGACATCAAGGTATGTATAAATGCATTTGAAATCACTGATAAAATGCTAAAATTCTTGAAAACAGTGAGAAACTATGAATTGCGTTTGCATGGCATGAGAATGAGATGAAATAAAAGCATAGGAGCGACAGTAAACGGTGCCGTGTCACTCTGTTTACATACAGTGGCAGGTTTGGGACCGGGACACTAAAATTCTTGCAGGAAAACCTTTGGCTGACCTGCTGAGAATGGCTGGGACTTCTCCAAACATGGTCCACCTGCGGTGTGATCCTCTAGCTTTGGATTTTGTCACTGAACAGACCCTACTCTCTCCGCCCTTTCTATGTCTCACTCTCGTAACCACGATTATCTGCTGTTTCACTTGTACAAAGAACACCTTGGAGCCATCAGCTTGCTTTCTCCGTTATATGGACGACAGCTGTACTCTTTCACTGTCACTATGTGTTGCACTTTCTCTCTGTCATAAGGGTACATTCCTCACCTAACCCCCACCCACTTTGACCATTTCCAGTCAAGCCCTAATACAAGAACGTCTTTTAGTTCTCAAGTGTTTGACAACGTGGCAACAAGACCAGGATGAGTGAAATGGCTTAATGGCCCTAATGTTCAAAGTACACACGTTTATTTTGTTGGATGCATTTTGCCCTTTTCCCGCTCCGGGAGGTGATAAACTGCCATCGCCTTCCATCAAACGCGTACACAGCTGCTCAAGCTGAGACCCCTAGACCACCACTTGAGCTGTGAGCCACTTAGTCTCCTGCTGGTATCACTCAAATGACAGCTTAGCAAAGATTAGTTATTCTGGAAGGGTCTTTACTCACTTCTAAGATGTGTGACAGATGTCAGACAGACATGGCTCCACTTATCATCGAAAAGGATGGCTGCTCTGATGGACGTCTGAGTTCCTGCTGGAGGTGTTTAGATAAATATGGAACAGTTGGGTTTTTTTTTCCTTTCTGTTGCTCAAACCTCAAAAGCAAAATTCTGAGGTGGTTTATTTTTTTTCTGTTTTACACTACTTTGCATTTCTACTGAGAACTTTAAAAGAATGACAAAACATTTTGTGCCAATATTAAAAGATAAATACATATGAACGCACCACTAAGACACAATGACCTATATCAGAGCATTATAGTTCAGGTGTCTTGGTGAAAAAGAAGATTTAGAAGATGCAGAACAAGTGGAAAGATGCTGTGGGAGGCCTTGATGCCATCTTTCATGGATGCTGAAAGAAATGTGAGGATTTTCGGGGCAAGGCAGGCAATCACTTCAATCACTTGCGAATAGAGGCAGTCAGCGGGTGTTCTGTCTACGATGCAGAGTCCAGCAAAACCACTGGATCCCAGACCTGCTGAGCAGCTGCGGGAACAGTTTTGACTGTATGACACCTAAACAGTGCCATCAAGTCAATCTAACTTATGAGGGTTGCTTCAAGGAACATGGGGTGTAACATATTTCCAGATTATCTAGGCAAATTGGCCACTAGATTGTCAAATGCCTGCGAGAATGTGAAAATTGATGATTTTTTGATGAAAGGCAAATTTTAATTTGAACTAAATATCATTATTTCTAACCTTCTAATGTCTCTGAAAGTCATTTGAATAAAAATATCCATAAAAGACTGTAACTCCAAACTTTCACTACTCTCCTCTGCACTGTGATTTTGTGCTTTGACCTTCTTGTTTAATCTCTTCCCCCTATCCCCACCCGATCGTGGCACAATACATACTGCTGCTCGAAGTCTCAATATATATATATGGACTGATTTGAAATGAACAGAGCATACATCAGTGGTGTAGTAGCTGGAAATAAGGTGATACATTGAGAAAAATGAAAGATACAATGAAATAATATATGAAAATGACTATATAAATATACATTTATATGTACATTACATTCATGGCCTTAAAAGAGTAAGAGACTATAACAGGATCAGGGTTGAGTGGAGCACTAAGTGGGGCATGGGCTTGTAGCAAGCTGAGCGTATAATGGGCAATCTTTAATCTCAAATGTAGGTGTTCCACATCGTCCCATAATCTGATCAGCCTCATGGTGAGTTTTCATTATAGGATCTGTCCCAGATTTCTCTTTAAGGAGACAGCCTTGAGTAGCTATTCGGTGCAGGCGTAATTCTTTGCAAAAAAAAGCCCACCTACCAGCCAATGTGGCAACATCCTCGTGGCAATTTCTCCTGCGTATTAATCAGATCAACTGGTGAGCGCACATTAGTATAAACGAGGATCTCGAGGCTTAAGTGATGGATGACATGTATGAGCACACAGAACATGTTGTGCTGGAAAAATATATTTTTCTCCATTTTTCATTTCATTAACACAAGTGTACGTGTGTGTGTGTATATGAGTGTGTGTGTTTATAATAATTGAACAGTAGTAAAATAAAAAAAGTCACAAAACACAAAAGGTGTAAATAGCCCTTTTTTTTAAAACAGAAAAATCACGAGTCTATGACCTGTGATCAGAAGTAAACTCCACTCATGGAGTGCACAGACAAACTCCGCATGTATACAGCCACACACAAGCGTACCCCACACACACACCTAGGTCTTCGCAATCGCAATCATCATCAGTACAGTACAGAGCACGCTGTGACATCAATCCACTAATCAGCATGATCAGATGACGTCTCCCACTCAAAGTGCCTTCCCACAGACGGTAAGAAAAAACAGCTCTGAGCTCCAACCACCTGTTTCACTCACTGAGAAGGAAGTTTCATTTCAGCGGTGAATATCTTGACAGCAAAAACACATTTCTTCATAGCTGTCATGAGCGACAAAAGAGCGACTGAGCAAGCTATGCCACATTTTTAATTTATTTTTTATAGCTATTTATAGCTACTGCAGTTGGGTCTGTTTGTTTGCCTTTCAGCTACAGCCATTTAGTTATCCCTTCTAATGGTATATGACAGACTGCTCTTTGAGACTACTCTTTGGCTGTGTGCAGTGACTTCCTCACACTGACAGCAAGACAAAAATCACTGCCCCGAGACAAAAACAAACAAACAACAACAACAAAAAAAGGTAGTATCATACATAGACCCTCAGAAAACATCATGTTGTTCTTTACATCCAGTCCGATCCATTTTCTACCTCTTATCTGGATCCAGGACCGAGTGGCAGTCAACTCAAAATTGTGCAGATCTTGCTCGCCTTGGTGATTACCTTGAACCTTTCTGGGGGTCTGCAGGGCATTCCCAACCAGCTCAAGTGATTTCTTTCAGTTTGAAGAAGCAAGCGCTCTACTCTAAGATCCTCCTCCTTGTTGCTGTTTGCATTTACATGTGCAGATTAAATGACAGAGCACGTTAATCAGCCATTTCCCCCTTGTTTCCATTATTTGTGCTACACTAAGCTACAGCAACTGTCTCCTGGTTCCATTTTCATCTCAACAAACATGAGCGCTAATAGTCTTCCCATCCATCACTGATGTGAACGAGCATATTTACATCCTCAATGGGGATCCATCCTCAATTAGCAGAATAATGGATTTATCTGACTGGTTCAAATTAAGTTTTGCTGTTGAGTATTTTCAATCTTTATCAGCTGCTTCAGTGGATTTTAATTGCTTTTTTTTTTAATGTACAAATTTTGTGAGTGATTGGAGGTGTCATGATGATGATCACAGAAAGAAGGCAGGCAGAGGGCCACACGTGTGCACACAAATGCAGAGCCAGCACGCACCTACTTCTGCACTCACACACATAATTACATAGTGATATTTACAGTTATCTACAGGTATCTTTTCTGAACTTCAAACTTCTGATGTTTGTAAATTCAGTCAGCCCTATTTTCCCATTTTGAAGATTTCTTGTGTTTTCTTACAGCAGAGATATTCCTCTGCTCTTTACCTTTGTTCATTTTTCATTGGATCAGTCTCACTTCCTTTTCCCTGCTTTACACCCCCTTTTCTTTTTTAGGCATTCAGTAACACTTTTTTAACCTTTCTTATCTACACTGTTTCTGCAAACATATCTCAATGCAACTGGCTTCAGTTGAATTTGTGTAAAGTGCTACAACTGGTTATTGAGAGAATTTGGAAAACTAATGGTTGAATGATGGCAAAGGTACTCTTGCAGTCTTTATGATGCTTACAAACCTCTTTCATAGGCACAGATACACATGTTCATGGATGACACACACAAACACACAATCATAGACACACGACTCATCCATCTGTGGTTCCTGCCAAGCGATCTGTGTTTATCTGGCTGACCTAATATTCTTATATTGGCAGAGAAGAAGATGTTTGAATGTCTTTTTAAATGTGACATTGCACAGGGCGTAGCAGGCCGGATTAATGGTGCTGTTGATATAGCATAGCCAGTAACCAATAGTCCATACTGTGTTGGGGATACAGCTAGAGCAAAACGTGTTAATAAGCACCATCACGTTGTAAGGAGTCCAAGTGGCAACAAACGCTACCAGGATGGCCATTATGGTGCGGGTAACTTTTTTCTCCCGTGACGGTGCTGCTTTCTTCTTCTTGTTTGGAGGTTGCTTAGTCATCTTCACAATCTTCCGAGCCACATGGTTCTGCCGCTCTGAGGTTGGGACAATCTCAACAGTGGCATTAGATGGTGTGTAGCAGTCACCTTTGGGCGATTTAGTCTTGATCTTAATGCATGTCAGCTTGGAGCCCCCTGCTTTGGCTCGCTGACGTGTGATTGGCTGGTTTGTCTCAAGACTGGAGTTGGCTGTGGATGGTGCTGGTTCCTCATCCTTCTGATTGGAAGCAGCCACACTGCCAGATGTTGAGTCATTGGAGCTTTCCTTTTCCTCTCCAGGAGTACAGTTCTCCCTTGCTGCATCATCACCTTCAGTTTCTCCCTCAGCAGTGGTTGAGGAAGGCCCTTTGCCATTCTGCAGTTTTCCGTCATGCTGGTTTGCCCCATCAGCAGCATTCTGGCTTTGCGAATGCCCCGCATCTTCCCCTGGTACATTGTTGTTGTTAGATTTTGGAGTGTTGTTTCTCCTCTGGCCTGGTGAGATAGATTCAGGGATTGCTCCGGATGGCTTCCGGTTGTCCTTCTTCACACGGCTCTTGCTTGCTCTTGAGATCTGCCAGTAGAGCTGAATCATGATGATGACAGGTAGGTAAAAGGCGGCAATGGCTGTGCCAAAAGTAACGGCAGCATTGGAAAAGAACTGGATATAGCACTCCTTCTCAGGCACTGTCCGTCCACCCACAATGAACTGCCAGAAGAGAATAGCAGGCGCCCATAGGATGAAAGACAGGACCCAGGCAGCCGCAATCATCATTCCTGCCATTTTGGTGGTCCTTTTGACAGGGTAGGTGAGGGGCTTGGTGACACAGAAGTATCTATCAAAGCTTATGATGAGAAGATTCATGACAGATGCATTGCTGACAACATAGTCCAATGCTAACCACAAGTCACACACCACTGGCCCCAGGGGCCAGTAGCCAATCACTATGTAGACTGTGTACAAGTTCATCGAGCACAGTCCAATAATGAGATCAGCACATGCAAGGCTGAATAAAAAGTAGTTGTTGACAGTTTGTAAGTTCCTATTAACTTTGATGGAAAGCATGACTAGGATATTTCCAATAACTGTAACCAAACTGAGGGAACCAGCCACCAACACGATGAACACCACCTCCACAGTCTTGTAGGCGCTTTCGCTCTCTTCCACAACTTCTGTGTCATTGCCTTCAGAGGCATTCCAATATGTGAAATTGAATGCATCCATGGCATTTGGTCTTTTGTTGCCACCTCCTACTCAGATGGAACCTACAAGAGAACAAAAGAGAGACGATTTGTAATAAGGTGCAAAGGATGACGGTGATAGCTTCAGCATTTCAGTTAGCTAAAGCCTATTTTAGATGCATATACATTGTATGCACTTTATTTTTTTCTTTTCAACTGTGAAAGCTGAGAAACCCACAGTAACTTATTTTTAACTTAACTTAGCAAGCCAAGTATTTTCTCACATATAGTCAAGGTACCTAATCCAAAATACATTAATATATGCTGATTGGCACCAAATTAAAATTAAAACAGCAAATGACAGCAGCACTTATCAGCACACTTGATAAATATACTTTCAGAATGCTACAAAAGATGCGATGCCATCTTCCAACCTGTAATGGTACAAGTAGAGCAGATGATAATCGAGATTCATTACAAAAATGTGAAATATGCTTCTCTAAACCATCAGTATGGGCAATATGACCCTTTCTGTTTCAAACTAGCTTTTAGCCCTCCTAAAAGCAATTCATCAGATAACAGTGGCAATTTTGGCCACACACTAATTAGCTTGATAATTGGAAGCACAGGTATCAGGCACTTATATTTTTCATAATCACTGCATGAATAACATCTACCCATTAGACACCTGCCTCATTATAGAGAAAAAAAAACCCAAAAGGTCCCTGAGAGGCAAAAACCTAATGCACATCAGTGACTGATGAATAATAAGATATGTAAAAATAAATCGAGGTAGGATATGAAATGAGGATATCATGATGACAGATCACCCTGTGCCAGACTGGCGACCTGTCCAGGACGCACCCTGCCTCTCCCCCCTGTGATAGCTCAAAACACGCTCCAGCTCCACCATGTCTTTAGTCAATTAGCGGAAAGAAGAAGATGGCTGGATGGACAGATGGATGATGACATGGTCATGGTAATAGAAATGTTCACATATAGGACTGTTTGTTTAATATGCAAATCCTTTTTAATGCACATATAAACAAAGGATAAATAACTTTCATAAATTATTCCTTTTAAACCAATGTCTAGTACAACATAATTTTACTTCAGTCAAGAGTCAAACTCACTCTGAAACCCCCTTATGTCAACTGATCTCAGTGCCTGCTAGCTTCAGTGCATATCTCAACACATCTTTGAACATCCTAGTGGTAAAATAGAACATGCTGAGCCCACATAGAGTTTAGCTCATCTTTGCTGCTGCTTCTGCAAGCTGCTTTGCAACCCCCTTACAATACAATTTCTCACTTAATGTCATGTCTGTTGTCACTGATACTTGTTCCATTTTATCTTTGAGATCTTTGTGTATGTGTATGTCAGGGGGAGGGGAGGCCTCAGGACAAAGCCATACCTCTAAATCTTAATTGCTGCAGATGATTGATAGCCATTTTTATGCCACTGTTGTGGTCCCAACTGGACTGAATTTGGTTAAACATGCAACAACATACCTGTAATGTTTTCTTTGCTATTTTTTAAAACCATGTACATATAAAAATGTATTTATTTATTAATCCCCAGTGATTAAAGCTTACTAGGTGTTAACACTTGATGGATACACTTTCAAACTAATACCGTAATACCTAATGACTAGTTTGGGGCTTGAATTATTGTCCTTTCATGTCTTCTTCATGTGTTTCTAAACCCATATATTAGCTAATGATGTTTTATTTAAAATTACTATTCCTTTAAACCAAGGCAGGGTTGCTGCATACATTCTTAAAAAGAGCGAGGAACTGTGTGATTATACACTACACACATCATGTTACCAAGAGTTCAATGAAAACTTTAAAAGGAATTATTGACAATTTGAGCTAGCATTTTAACTTCAAAGACATTTTCCAACTTGCATTTAAAAATTCTTTTCATACAGCACTATAAACTTCTTTGGATTCCCAAGTGACCCACTAGTTCTCCCTTTTAATCTTAAACACTCATCGGTGTTGTAGACCTTGCTTTGATTTTAAAAGCACTGCTCAGTTCTGCGCATACTGTGCTAGAGTCTTTTGAAATTATGAGTGATGTGTCTTAAGGTGGGTCAAAATTCTTTGAGTCATTTCAGTTGCTTTTTTGCAGGTTTTATGGCACTTGGTGACCTGTTTAGTGTTTTTACGCAAACACCTTAACGTACTCAAACTTTGTTCAGCCTCTGAACTGAAGGTTCAGGTATTAGTGGTACTCTTTTGCTGTGATTTAAAAACCAACCTTAATGTTACCCAATACGTTTCTTGACATTGCAGCAAATATAAATCAAAGCATATTTGGCTAAAAACTGCTAGATAAATCACCAACACATACCCCTGTCCATACAACACCTTGAATTTAATTACACAAGACAGAAAATCAAATTGTTTGTTCTTCGGGGATAAATGCCAAATCTGAAAAGTGTAGACAAACTGGAAAATCTGTCTCACTCATTTGTTTAAGAACACACACCTACAATCCTCTATCATATAAAGTAGTGTAGCTCTCTTCCAAATTTCCTTTCATTCAGCTTTCTTCAGTCTACATTTAAGCAGTCTTTACATCCAAGTTTTTTGCTTGAATACAGTTTAATGTAACAAAAGGTTAGTGACCAATCCGATCATTTCTCTGTGACGCTTCTCCAGCTTGAAAGCTGTCTTGTTCAAGACTTTGCCATTTTGGTCTAAGGTCTTTAACCGTTGAGCCCAGTGAGTAACTAGTGAACATTCACTTATCTGCTGTGCCAGAAATCCCTAATCATTGCATTAGGCATGGAGCTAAGCTTGTCTAATCCGCATAAAATGTTTAAGTCCACCGATTTACATTCAAAAACACTAACAATACAAATGGGACACACTTGTGACTTGCTTCAGCCAAGTGGATTAGAGAAGTAAAGGGGATCAGTATAGATGGTCATAGCACTGTTGAGACAGTTAACTCCCCTAGCTGCTCTTTGTCCACCTCTAGCTGCCATAAGCTATGTCCCCCACCTGAAATCTCTTCCACAACAGGGCGAAAGCTGGGCCCCTGCTAGAGTCAACTAAAAATGCACAAATCCTTTTTAAGCTCAATGTGGGCAGCCATGGTTTTCCAAAAGCAGACTTAGGGGCCCAGACTTGGTTTAAAAGCATCACTTTATTTAAAGGAAGCCATTAGACACCCCTTCCAAGGAAACCCATTTATTTACTTTAGCTTTACTGTTGTGCTTTTAGCTGAAAACCTCATTAAACATCTTTATCTTAGCTCCTTAAGAAGAATTGAGGAACATTAATAAGCCATTACTGAACAGAAGCAAGATGTTTTTGCTGTAGTGTGACTGGTAGACATACTGGCACTGCAGCCTGCTGAGCAGCAGTTCAATTGTCGTCACCTGGGGAGAGCAGCAGTGGCACTCTTAGCATAGCTATCAATCATGGAGCTTACCTGCATCTCTCAGTACTACAGTAGTCAGGTACCACTGCATCCGACAGAGCCCAATCAGAGCATGAGTGGCACCTCAGACAGATGAATATTCAGATATTTTTCACTTATTCTGTAAAGTTTTTTAAAGGATTAACATAATCAGTCACAGATGATGTAATAAAAAATAAGTTTGTTGTTTGTTGTAATTTGTGCTCTGCAACTCAGAGAATTAAATGTGTGTCAGTGGGTCCAGTAATCCTAAATTTGCCATTTTTGTTTAAATTGTTTTTATTTAAAAAAAAAGGTGACAAGTCAGTTGCTACCATGGGAAGACATGACTAAATGAGCTTCAGTATTGTTCTGTGTTCAGATGCTGGTATTCCTAGAGCTGGCTCACTAGAGCTGAAAATTGCGTATGCCCTCTGGGAAACAGAGAGGGCCAACCTCTCCCTTTCACGTCTTATGTCCTCACTCTGTCTCTTCTGCTGGACTCCAGGCTAGCCAGATATAACAAAAAAAAAAGCCCAAAGTGAAGCCAGAAACACTTGGTGCATTTAACCCTAAGTTAAAGTTTGTGATTTAAAATTAATCAGAAAATAACTAATCACTTACACAATAGTTTTGCCAGAGACAGACAACAAATGTGGCTTTCTGTCCGCATGGCTTCAACCAAAAATATATAAAAGATTGCTTCCAAATGTTCCACCATTGTAGCTGAACTTAAACTGATGCATTTGACTGCTCCTAGCGTCCAGATTTCCAGCCCCCATCTCTGAGCACTGATCCCAAGCAAATCCCAGGGCACTTGCACCCTGCTTTCTGTGATTATATGCAATTTCATTGCAGTCCCTCTCCATGGGAGCGTGCAAGGTTAGGCCTTCGTTTAGTTGCTGTTTGCACAGAAGCATGACTGGAATGTAAAAACCCCGCATTGCTACAGTCCAGCTCATCCACGGGGGTAAAGATTTATTTAGCCCTATTGTCAGGGGTTATACCAGTTTACTGAAAAAGACAGTTTTCAAAAAGAAAAATCACTGCTTTTTTTGCTCATCTAAGTTTGAGGGTTCTTTATTTTGGGCAAAATGAGCAGACGCCTTAAAAAAAAGAAACAAAAAACAAAGAGAAGTGTTATAAATACAGCTTTAATAATAGGTAATATGTGAGCAGGTTAAACGGGCTCTTATCTTTTTGGAATCAGATTTTAGGTTAAGCTAAGCAGGTTTAGTTGGGATTAAACATTTTTGTTTTTTTGCCTTTTTGTAAACTAATCTTCAGTTGAGTTGTGATTCAGACAGGGATACTGACCAAGATGGGAGATACTCAGAGACACAGAAATGCATACAAATATTTTTTTGGGGAAAAAAAAGTCCAGCAGGAAATGAAAACTGTTCTGATAACCATCAAAACAACACAGCATCCCAGTGTTCTGATGGCTACCAAACGATCCAAATCTTGAGCTGGAGTGTAATTGCAAATTTGCATTCATTTCCTCAGGCCCCTTCGACTGTCTCAGGGATATCAGACTGTGAGTTATAGAGCTTGACAGATGCCTGTAGAGATTCAGAGTAAATATTTATACTGTGAATGATCAAAGCTCTTTGCTAATCCATTTTCTGTGATTTATTGGATATTGGATCTCTGTGGTAATCCTGATAGGT